GAATTGACAATAAAGCAGACTTGACTTGACTTGAAGTGTCGCCAGGACGCACCATATTATGATGTAATCATGTGACCAGGATGGTCTCATAAGCATATATTTCTATGATCTTGCTGTCTTCTTTGAATTGATCCGTGCAATCACATTTCTCCCAAAGTTTGAATGTGTTAAAGGCCCTTCAGAGTGAAGACGATACAACATGAGACTTGCAAGCTGTGGCATTTTTACACACACAGACTCATTTCACAGCAAGTATCATTAAGAGCAAATTCTACAAGCCTTCATATTTCTGTATTTCATATGTTCTGGGACACATCGCTTTTCTCCCACCTGGGAGAGTCTGTCCTCGCCCTCAATGGCCCATACCAGAGCAGCACTATTTCAATACAGGACAGAAAATTGAGAAGGAGAAAAAACACCCATGGCCTCCTTTTAAAGAACCTTCTGCCCTAGAAACTTTACTCTGCTTTCCAAGCATTCTCAAAAAAGACATTTCAGTCCTAGAGTGCTAAAATATGGCGTGACACTGGTGTAGGTGAAATGAAGAAAATAGACTTAAAGGGACAGTTCACCAAAAAAATGAAAATTCTGTCATTTACTTGCCTTCATGTTGTTCTGATTGCCACAATAAATATCATGCCCAACAACCTTCAGCAAGCTATAAGCTATAGTTTTAAACAGTAAGAAGATAGGTAAATAATATCTAGGTATAGGTATTTGATCTATCTATCTATCTATCTATCTATACACAAACATATTTGTTTGTGTGTATAATTACCTAAACAGTAGACATTTTTATTATATATATACATACATTTTTTATTTTTATTATTTATTTTCTCTAAGGTTTTCCATCTGTTACGGACTACTTTCATGATACTTTTATGGTGCTTTGGATTTTTTTTTTAAGCTTGACAGTAAAAAAAAATCACTATCCACTTTAATTTAACAGAAACTTAATTGAAAGCAAAACGAGACGGAAGAAAGAAAACAAAAAAATTAATTCTGGTGTAAAATATTTCTAAAAAACACAGTGTGTTTTTACAAACACATAGTGTTATGTAATAATCTGAGTGTTTGAGTCCATACCTGC